CTCTCTCTCTCTCTTTCTTTCATAATTAGTTTTAAAATAGTTTAATACAACAACAAATTAATCACTATATATTATAATGAAATTCCGTCATTTAAAAGAATTTTTATTATATTAGGTGTAGTAAAACGAAATCCATTATTTTTGCATGAAATTGAATGGAAAAATAATGGATTTCTTTTTACTACACCTAATATATAGTTCAATTCAAAGTGTAGCGGTTTCAATTTTTTAACTTTATTTACTTCTAGATGTTTCTTCTTATGTTGTTTATCAATTAAATAATAAAAAAGGATAAAACGATCGTTTGTTTCATGCGTAACTCGGAACGCATCCTTAATATGATGTATAAATGTAATATACATATAAAAAAATGTCAAAAAATATTTGACATCTTATTAAAAGTTTTAGGTTATAAATTTATTTTTGACTTTTACTGTAAATTAGCTTTCGTTTCAAGAACTTTATACTTATGTATTGATTATAGTAACCAATGATGATAATCAATCAATGCAGGTAAAAGAATTGCAGATAAATAAAATAAGTACATAATATTTTTAATAGTTGATTAAGTAATAATTAGTTGATTAGTATCTATAATGTATCGAGCTCGAATCCGTGTTTGCTAAGCCTAAACTGTACAGATCATTTCAAAAATTATCGCAAATTGTTGTTGTCATACCAGATTAGTTTTTCTAATCGATATGGAACGACTGTATAAACAATTACATTACCTCCTCTTTTGTTATCCCCGACTTATTTAACCTGTTCCACTCGGCGTAATATAGCAATGTGCCGGTTTTTGAAAAAATGTACAAGTTATGAATTGTCATAACGCTGGCACGTTGTCTTTCTTTCGTTTTACACCTTTGACTCTGCAATAATTGTTTTGACGTTTCCACGATGTCCAGCACAGCTGGGCACAGCTGACTATTCTATACATATTCGTCACCTGGTGTTGAAGCGATCAAACTCTGCGCACAGGAAAATCGTCGATAATATTGGATTATGCATTTATCTAATTGTAATAATATAGATAGCATGAACCCAGCGCATGATGCAAAATATTCAAAACAAAAATATAAAAAATATAAATATAAAAAAAATGTATGTTTAATTAAATAATTTTATACAATTTTCAATTAATATATAGATATTAATTACCGCTGTCTTAATTTATATAACTTGTCTGTATTTTGCGAGGAATGACTATTTTATGTAATATTTACATCACATAAATTCATATTTATATGTAACATATTAATTAATAATTTTTACACAATTTTTGCATAATATTTTCATCATTCATAATATAAATTTTATATATAAACATATATCAAAAAGAATTCTTTTGATCATACAATTCATAAATCATTCAATGTTATAATCCATAGAAGATCGTGCATCTTAATTGTTTCTATGACAACGAAATTAAAGATAGATATTTTCGTATCTCTCGCAATCGATCTTCGCTTATCTTCATACTTTCAGTCACATGTTGAAACACACTTTGTCAGTGATAAATCAATAAACCAAAAACGACAAAACAGATTATTCAAAAATGTAAGCCAAAACTATGCATAAATGCTCCTGTCGATTGTATTATTTGTTCCAAATCGTAAATGGCATACCTGCGCGAAGTTCCCACTTTCGAAAAATTAGATTTTATCTCGGAGAAAAATCAATATGTCCTTCCGTAATGAAATTGATGGTAACAGACGATGTCCTAGCACTGGTTGCTGTGGTTAGTATGTATTGAATAACCACACTTAAGAACAATAATAGCAATTTCACGGTTCTGAAGTTAAAATAACTATATTTTTTATATGTATACATAATTAAATATTTTATTATCTTTTATCATTTTTCATTAATATTCATAAAACTTGATATTTATCATCATTTACAAGCAGGAATATTATAATAGCTTTCATTAATAGACACTGTATAAAACGGATTTAATTACATTTTATCGAATTATTTTATGAAGAATTATAATTTTTAATTATCATAAAAAATCATTAATCATTATAATACTATGCATATAAAAGTATGTAAGGAATAAATGTATTTATGATGCTAATAAAAATGAATAATGTTATTCGAAAACGTGCAGCTTGCACAAGAAAAATACTCTTTAAAGAGACTTATTTTGTAAGTGAATAAATGTATATATTTCTTTTTGTAACAACAAAGTATTGAGATCTTAAAAATTCATATTGAATGTATTTTTCTTTTAGTATCTCTTTATTCATAATTCATATATGTCTCAAGAATGCAGTGGCTTTTAGCTTGCATCTTGTGATACAGGAAACAATTGTGCATCAGGCGAAAGCAATTGTAAGGCGTGCATATCTTCATGTAATTGCCAAAGTAACATAGGATGCCTGAATCACGGTGCTTGTAGCGGTTTGCGACCCACCGGAACTGTCGCGACGGGCGCGTGTCCTGGACCATGTCAGTGCGTCGAGGAGGAAATTTGGAATAGTAACGTGCCACCTAAATCGAATTACCGATGGTTGAATAACTTCACTGAGCTTCGCCGTCAATGGAGCGACTATGGTCGTCAGCAGGCATACAAGTGCTGCAGCCGACCATGGTAAATAACAAGAATTTAATATCGATGTTTCAGGCGCGAATGAAATCGATGTATTGCATATGACACGATGATAAAAAGAATAATAGTTCTGTATTAGTCTAGAACATTTGCTCATTTTTTTTATTTCCAAATAACAGTGGCATTGGTTACTCTTGTTCTAAAGTATTTTAATAGTCCGTATTAATAATGATAACGATAAGTAAATTTTATAGGTAATTGAAGTTATTAAGCGTTGAATATGCCTTCAATAATCATTAAGCAATTCAATTTGCGAAAAGTTAATACAAACAAAGAAAATTTTAAAAAATTCTGATTGAACTAATTCTTGGTAGTTAGTATTATAACAAAGAGCATGATAAGTGATTTTAATTTTTAAATGTAATTTTACGTTATTATATATTTCATTTAAGTTTTATAAAAAGACACATACACATTGAACTACATATTGCATAGTATTCCAAAATTAAATTTAACAAGGTGCTTATTTTTTCTTTCCCTATAAATTAATAATTAGATTATTTGTAACAAGATAATCAATAAGCTGTAAAGAAAAATCTAAAAAATAATAAATAAAATGCCAATTTGAGCCAATACTGGTTATTAGTATGTATTTTATATCATTTATTCAAAGTGAATAATAAAACATATATATTTCGATCTACGGTCAAGGTCAAGTGCAAAGAAATTGACTTAAATTATTAATTACAAATTACATGATGATAGCGCATACGAGTATAAACTATTAAGGTACAAAAAACTGTGGTGGTGATATCCGAGTTAATCTTGGGCATCAAATTATTAAGTTTTACTATTTTTGATGTAATATCAAAAATTAGTATTTTATTTATTACTTTTTAGATTATTTGTGTTTACAAAAATTTAGATTACAAATATTTTATTATAAAAAATGTAAAATATATAAAAAATTTTATGTTATTAATTAAACTTATTTCTTTATAATAAAATTTACTTATCTACAGCAGTACTGTACAAGTGCAGTATTATACAATAGCAATAGCTTTCTAGAGTTAAAGAACATTGTAATTTAGTAGCTTTCGCTTCCGGTTGTTTTTGGTGCGTAAGAAAAATGTTGCTCGTGTGCGACATCGTAATGTTTCAGAGTAAGCTTATTGACCGTTTGTAGGAAAGTGGAGTTAGTGCTTATCTCTGTTTTCGTGAAAGCACTGTCTATTTGTAGTGTCGCTATTTCTTTCTTCTTTATTTTTTTTTATAGAAAAAATTCTCAAATGAATATGAACGCTAAGAAAATATTTCCCTTTAAAGATATTGAAAGAATTATTGAATTTTCTTATTTTGCATCGTATTGCATTTTATTCGCAGCAGAATTGTCGCTTCGTGCCGACCATGTCTTTCACCAACGGCCCTGTGTTCCAGTACTATTTTACTTACATCGGACTGTCAGGTACACACCAAGGTGGATTCCTCGTTGAGATACCCTTTAAAATGCGCTTGAGATTCGTTTGAGGTAGTAAATTTTGCATGTTTTTACTATGATGAGAAATAGAAGTAAATATTAGCGCAAAGAAAACAACTAAGATTTATTTAATCTCGCCAGTTAACCATTAGTTTAAGATTGTTTAATTTTTACTTAAAAAATTCTAATATTAATAATAAAAATATATATA